TTTTTTTTTTTTTTGGGGGGGGTTTTTTTTTTTTTTGTTTTTTTTTTTTTTTTTTTTTTTTTGGACCCACCATCTGGCAATCTCACTTGATACTCTGTTTTTTGTTGAGTTTGGTATTTTTTTTGTGTGTGTTATGAGATACTTTGCAATGGGTCCTGAAGGGACTGTAAGGCTTTGGCTTATTGCCAGCTTTTCCAAATTGAAACCACTGAAACTAAGGTATCTCTTGATACATTGCTGTTCAGCTATCAAATTTCCGTATTCTTCCATTAGGAAGTAATCCTATTGCTAAGACTGTTGTGTGAATCTTCTCTGTGTCTGCTTTGATGTTCAGTGCTTGGTCTTACCTTCCACATGTGTGTAGGGCGCAGCTTTTGCCAAACCTTTAATTATACCAAATGCCAAAGCAAGGGAAGAATTTCTCTGAGCAGAACTAAGCATGCAGTGGAAGCAACTTAATTTTATGTGATGAGCTGGTATGCAGAAATAAAGAACTTGATTTGAGCAGATGCTTCCTTGTGCAGACGTAGGTAAGAATCCTATACAATAGATTGTAATAGGTAAGAGATGAAAAGGGAAGTTACGAGTCTCATGGTACAGTATGTAATGTACTCTTTGCTCCTGGCAATACCAAAGCCAACCAAAAAACCCAGTAGGATTCAGTATTTTAAACTAGAATAATTACCTAAGAGAAATTTTGTGTAACAGTTGATTAAGATACCTTTTCCAGTTTGCTGCTTAGAAGCTGAGGTATGTGTACAGAAATAATAGTATTTCATCTTTGGCTACAGCTGTAAAGCGAGCAAGTACTAAATAACATCTGCAAGGTGTATGCATGTACTCCAATACAGCTTGGTCCAGAAGTAATTTAACAGAATTGTGTTTCTGAAGTCAGTGTTTAAAAAAAAAATAAAAAAATTCAAATAGTGGCAGAAATTAAGAACTGCCAAGATAAGTGTTTGAGTTAACTGAAAGCAGCTGGTGGATAGCAGACAAATCTTTCAGGTATAGGTCTGAGATGCAACTTGTTTTAATGTTCTGAAATAAAGTGGCATGGGTGGCAAATGGTATCTCAAGCAGCAAAATTACAATAGTGGTCACCATAAGCAGGTATTGCTAACTCCCTTTGACAGAAAGAGATTACTCATGAACTAAGAGTACAAACAAGTGTTTCTTGCTCAGCAGTTAGGTGTAGGAAGTGTGAACACTAGCGTGAACACATAACCTCTTATCAGTTAGCGCTCCTCTCCCCATTTACCTTGTATTTTTTTGAACACGTGTAAGGAAAGAATCTGCAGTTAGCCCTTGCACACAGCAGACAACGCCACCTGTTCCAGGGCTGATACTCAGTAGGCTGATGACAACAAGGTGCTAAGTGTGATAGGAATCAAGGTTGGGTTTGGTTTGGTTGGGGGTTTTTGTGTGTGGGTGGGTTTTTTTGTTTGTTTGTTTTGTTTCTGTTCTTGGTTTGGGTTTTTTTGGGTTTTTTTTTTTTTTGCCCCCCTGGACTGCTATCCGGGGGTTTTTGTGTGTGTGTGGGTTTTTTTGGTTGTTTTTTTTTTTTTTTTTTTTTTTGCCCCCCTGGACTGCTATCCAGTAAGAGTACAGCAGTCTTTCCAACTGTTGTCTTTTTGTTGTTGTTGTTTTATTTTAACTCTTGTATTGAGCTGCTCTGTGTTTTTAATGTTGCAGGAGTCCAGGAGAAAATGGGAATAATGAACAAAGGAGTGATTTATGGACTCTGGGATTATGAGGCTCAGAATGACGATGAGCTCTCGATGAAAGAGGGAGACTGCATGACAATCCTGCGCCGGGAAGATGAAGATGAAATTGAGTGGTGGTGGGCACGGCTGAATGACAAGGAAGGCTATGTTCCCCGCAACCTGCTAGGGGTGAGTCCTTGATATTTCCAGAATCAAAAAAAACCCCCACCCCAGTATGTTGAGTATACACAGCATTATTCTCATACATCTAGGGTAGGTGCAATTTCAGAAGTCAAGAGGTAGGAGTTGAAGTTCTCAAATTATTCATTTGGGGAGTTGAATACCTTGGCAGAGTGGGTTAACACCCTCTGTTTAGACACCCGACCAGATTATATTAATAGGTGCATAAAAGAACAACATGTATCACCACCCCGCTATACTTTGCGAGTTCTAATACTAACATTGTCTCACCACCTTAGAGGAAAAGAACCAAAACCTTTTATCTGAACATGACGCGTGCAAAAGTTTTTGTTGAGCATGTGAACAGAACTGGGTTTCCCCTCTTACAGAAAGTGATCGACTGGCACAAAGGGCCTTAAGATCTGAAACTTGTATAAAGAATGAGTCACAAGTCCTGTCTGGGTTTACACAGTGCACCTGGTGATCCAAGATGGTTTCACAGAGAGTTTTAAGACAAACACTGCAAAGTTCTATGGTTGTCTTTTTTCTAGTGTTGAAAAAGAGATCAGATTGCCAAATAAAGGCAGATCTTTTTCTCCTATGTTCTTTATGTAATATTTTAACCATATGTCAAAGGCTTTGAATGAATGGCCTCTCCTTTCCTCATCACCTTCTCTACTACCTGTGTACTGTATAAAAATGATAGATATTTTCAATTATGTCCCCATATTTTTCCTCATGGCTGAGTTGCTAGAAAACTATAGCAGATGGACACATGTATAAAAATTCCATTAAGCTTTTTTCTACATATCCAGTTGCCCAGCTGCTGGAGATAAGAGGTTCTGCCAGTGCTAAAGATTAACTGCTGTGAATTTTATCTGATTGATGTATGATGTTTGAAAGAGGCTGAATCTCCTTCCTCATGCAGATAATCCTTACTCTTAAACTGGTTAGATTTTGTAGAGCGACTGTATCTAATGCAAAATCAGTTTTCATTTCTGTATCGCTTTCAGGTCAGGCCTGCTCACAATGTACTGTAAAATTCTCCCTAACAGTACTTGTGCTCAGGTTTTTTTCCTCTCCAAATGTAAACATTTCTAAATTGAGAGCGGCCATCAGCCCTGCACAGTAAGGTCAGAAAGGTCAGAAATGGCAGCTTGCTTTTTTTTCCCCCCCTGCCTGCCCCAGGGTGAATCGTGCATGTGCTACTTCATCCTAAGCTTGCATGCTCAGCCTGAGCACAGGTGTGTAAGGACATGAGGAGCATCTGTGCTTCTGTAACAAAAAGCACAAAGCAACACAGCTTAGACTGGGGATCACAACTGTTCCTTCTAAGCACAACACAATCCAAGCAGAACCTTTGGGGAAAACTTAGCCGAGCCCAATATTAACTGTTACACTCTTGTGTCTGTTCAGTTGTTCCAGTACTGCTACCGAAGTATTCTGTGGTTATTCTCAAAAGCAATTACTGGACTCTTAATACAGCAGCTGAAATCTAGGCTAAGATGTTCAGCACAGAGGCAAATGTTTGGTAGTTTAATATATTCTTATATTAAGTTGTATTTTTATCACAGCTGCTTTATCCTTTTGCAGTTAGGTGCACTGAATAAAAACAAGGATGAAATTATCTGCATCAGTACTTTACCCTTCTTAGTGATTCACAAGCTCCCTAAGCTGTATGAGAGCTCTAAAACTGAATGCAAGTAAGATAATACTGTCAAAATAGTGACTTCTTAATACCAGACAATCTTTTGAGCACTGTCAGGTGTTAAGCTACTGTAACTGACTGACTGATGTCATCTCTGCTAGTGGTGAAATCATAGCAGGCCGAGACAAACCTAGGTGAAGTTGCTGGTCTTCTCTTATTCATCAGCTGACCATGAAAAAGAAGAAAGCCAGAGACTGGTTGAAGAGAAATAGGGGGGGATCTTTAAGGAGAACTTTAGCTGAAAAAAACCCAGGATGTAATGTAGACATGCATTGCCATTTAGGATTCATCTTTTTCCTAATTGGATGAAGTGTATCCTTCTATTTTTACATGCCAGTAGCTGTACTTTGCAGAACAGTAGTTGTTCCCCAAACCCTTTGCAAGTGGGAGCCAAGAGCTTCCCAAGCATCTCTGCACTGCTGCGTGCTGTCTCCCATCAATTGTCGCCCTGCAGCTGAGGCCGAGGCAGTCCCCCTACCTCTGTGTGCGTAGCAGAATGTGTGAGTAGCACATAGCTCAAGGGCCGCAGGATGGCAGCTACTGATTTACTGCTGGGTGGTTAAATGAGTTGAACTGGCCACCCACTGTCTGCCAACTAAAGCACAGCTCCTATAGTTCCACAGTCCTTATGCAGCCAGATGTTTCCAGTTTGCCCAAAGCTATAGATCTGTAAAGGCTGATAGGCATTGAAGCAAAACAGACTTTAATACCTCTCTATTTCCATTTATAGAACAGGGAAAAATCCTATAGTTCACTGAACACAGAAGTCCCTTGACTTACAAAGCCCCATGCTTTTCCTAGCCCACCCATCTGGGTAGAGCTGAAGGTACTGAATTATGTGCTGTTCAATGCCTTCCTTTTGTACTGATGTGGTTAGTATTTTTTTTTTTAAGCTTGCCTAAGAATGCTAAATTTATATTTGTTAGTGCTGGGTGTTTTTTATAACCATGTTTTTCCTACTAGAGATTACATTAGAACTGTAGCACCAGACAGGTTTTTATTTCCTTTTTTTCTTTTAAAAAAAATTTACCTTTTTAAGCACTAAAATTTTAAATCTCATTTCTGTTTTACCCTTAGCTGTATCCAAGGATTAAACCTAGACAAAGAAGCTTGGCATGAAATAGTACAGAAGCCAGATTCTCAAAGTACTAATCATGGATGACTTACAAAAAAATTCATTTTGTGGTTCCAGTATCATGAGACTTATTTCAATGACAATGTAATTTGAAAGCTATGAAGAATGTGCTTTGAAAACAAATGAAGGATTGATGCATTAGCAAATGGATGAGGGCATTCTACAAGATGAAATAATGCTTACAAGCAAATGAAGTTCTGCTGCCTTTGGTCTAAGCAAGCCATTATGTTCAAGTACCCACTCTGATTTCTTCAAACATGGCAGAAAAGAATTTCACATTTTTCTGCATTAAATACAAGGACCTTTTCAATTTACCATTGAAGGAATCATCATGAAACAGACAACTTGGCTTTGTCCAAATTTATCCCGAGGCTTTTTCCAGATGGGAGAAATTAAAATAAAGTACGTGCATAGCACCCAAATGCTTATTGCTGGAAGCAGAACGTTTGTTAAAGGAGCTAAACCGAAGTGCATCTGAACAGTGACAACCATGTGACCAATCCATTAAGCAATAACTTTTAAAAATGCTGTAGCATCTTAGGAATTCCATGTATTCAAAATATTATGTGTTGTAACAGTGTAGTTTTAGATTCCTCTTTTTACAAAGAGCCTCATGTATTTATTGTATTTTGTACTTTGAAAACTAAGTGTAGAAACTTTCTGTAGTCCTTGACAACTTACTTGTTTTTACTTGACTGTGATACCATTAAACTTTTGTTTCCTCTTAAGCTTTAACTCTGGCTATTTTACTGTCAAGTTTTTATTAGACCATCTGAAAATGTTAACAGTAAGACACTGCTGTTCTACATTAAACTAACAATTAAATTGAACCCCTCCTCCCCCATTTGTTCAAGACAGTCTTTCTGCATTTAAAATTAAGCCCTATCTTTTAGCTTTTAAGGTTAAAAAATGTTATATGTAACTAAGGGATATACTTTAAAAAAAAAAAAAGTTGGTACAAGTATTTTCCAAGTAGAGACTGTCCCATGGAACTATCCTTTATCTATTTAGGAATAATCATTTGATAATGAATAGAGAATTTGATTATTGAATCTTTCCATAACGTTATTTATGAAGTGCCTCACCCTTCAGGCTCATATTTTCCTACTAGGTAAGTCCTTGCTGCTTTCTGAAACAGTGCCCATATGTACAAGAAACTGTTTGTAGGAAGGAGGACACAATTCCTCAGGTCAGCTCTAGTGAGAACTCTTGGAAGCAGCAATCTGCTCCTCATGTTCACAGCCCCAGGATTTTAATAGGTTGGTATGGGGTATATAGCATCAATTACCTTTCATGAAAACCTTTAAAAGATTAGCTTTTCAAGCATTAAAGTATCAGACTATAACATTTCATTAACTAACTGACATGCAGCCACAGTGTCTGTCAGTGCCTAGTCAGCTCCAGAATGTTTTTCTCCTTTAGAAGGCAACATACTCTGTTCCTGACAACACAAGCTCTGCAGATGCTCTGTGATAATCTCTCAAGGAAAAAAAAAATGGTGCTTACCTGCAGAAGGAATAACGTCTTGCAAGCTTTATTTCTACTGTTTTTATTTAAATACTTTCTTGAATTTCAAAAGAAGATAAACAAGATACAGGAAATTGAGATTCCACCTGAGAGCATGGGCTTTCTCTTGGAAGAGTCTGGTTGCCAACAGCCTCCTGCTACAGGCACAGCAAGGATCAGGATGGCAAGACTTGCCCTTCAGATCGGTCAGACGTGTACTATATTTGTACCACGTGCTACTCAAATTCTTCCAAGAATATTTAACCAGAATAGTGCTAGGGCTTGACCCTATGAAAGCATACAAGGGACCCATATCTTACCTAAACACCTGTATTCAGAGATATACAACACCATCCCTTTTCTAGTTTCAGGTACTCAGGAATGGCGTTGGACCTGTTACTCAAAAAGCACTTATTAAACCAGACCGTCAAGGTGTAACGAGCTTTCTTCCAGAAGTCATGTAAAATACCGAGCTAGTAGCAAAGCAGTACTTTCAAAAGTTGCACTGAAGATTTATACTAAATGAAAGCTTTTGTACAGAGGATATATAGTAGTAGATAAAAGACTTAGACCCATAAAATGAGGTTGCAGCTTCTTCTGCTGTTGAAGTAGAACACTTTCCTTCTTATAACTGTGTGCAAAATTTGCCATGCATAAGTTAAGGCACATTCATGTTAGGGTATTACTTGTATGCTTGATTATCTTCACCTGATCTTGCTCTTTCTGTGGCTCAGTAGCTCAAATGACAGTAAAGCACAACCACTGTAAGGACAGAGAGAGGGGAAAAGAGCCCGAGGTTAAGTTCAATAAAAATACCTGTAGCAAGTCTGCACGTTCCCATGTCTAGCAAGAGGAAGAAAGTGTTGTTACAGAAGTGACTTTAGGGTCTTTCTTGAATGATCTAAATTCATATCTCATTTAAGGCTGAAGAGTTTTGGGATGATTCACACATTCCTCAGTTAGGTCCAGAAATAAGTTACGTTCAGGTAATAAGCAAGTCGAACAGAGCTAGCAGGGCAGTTTTCTCCAAACGTAGGCCTTTCTCCAGGGCCCATGTGGTGCAGAAAGAAGCAGACATGGTCAATGCCATGAGTCCCTTCTGCACCTATGTTTTACCCTGTTGCTGACAGAAGAGGCAGGGAAGAAGCCTGCGTACATATCAGCCAAAATTACTGCCACTAAGGGGTGAGTGGCTTCTGGTTCAAGTAACCTTGACTGTTTACAGTGTGATATATGTATATTTTTAAAAAGGGTAACGTTTCTTAAAACTGCTTATACATACACAAGCTATAGAAATTTAGCATATATGTATATAAACCCCAGCCATAATCAGTCAGAATAGAGCAGGACAGTCGCTACTGTTAACCATCCCCCCACCCCCCCGAAAAGATTAAAACAAACATTTTTGAGCTAAATGAACTTACATTAACAAGGTTCAATTCTATTGTTCCAGTTTTCTCAGTATCCAGTTTTCTAAACATTTCTGTGGTAGGAGAAAGATGACAGATAAGGATAGGATATAGGCACTAATTGGAAAGCCTTCGCCTTCCTCGTGCTTCAGGATCAAAAAGGAATTTAGTCCCACAGTCTAAAATTTATGACAATGGTCTACAACCCAAACCAGAAAGTCACTGTGTGCTCATACGCAAGAATGAGACTGAACATCTTGAATGGTTCTGTCTGTAATATTAACACTATTTGTCACTCTAAGTGTTTAGATTCCCCCCCCCAACATTTAGTTGCTTGCTTTAAAAAAAAACAGCAGTCTGGCCTAAAAGGCTGGTTCCTAGGTCTAGGAGGACCATGCAGGTTGGGTTAAGGGATTTATAACTCAGCTTTGACGTCACTTTGGTTCTGGTACAAAGTTTTCTGAATAACTCGCCATAGACTTGAAAACACAAAGCAACAGTCTGTCTAGTTATTAAGGGTATACTCACTGAACAAGGTTTCCAGCCGAATCAAACACCGGACAAAGTTATCAAAATCAATGATGAGGTCTTCATCAGCAAAACGAGCCACAATGACTTGATGTAACTGGCAGTTCAGTTTGAACCCTAAAAATACAATGTCAAGGATTTAAAAAAGAAGAGGAAGAAAAAATGCAAAAAGCTACAATCAACAAACCCCAACCTTATACACTGCCAGAAATTCAATTAGCTACTTTTGGTTAAATTCTCAAATTTTTAAAGTACTCCATTTTGGAAACTCCCAACAATCCCTTCTGTACTTGGAGTGATTTAGAGATGCCACTAGCTCACTTGTGGCCTGTGCTCCCAAACCTGCACTATTTCCCAAGGGACATGGCCGATTGCTCCAACTCCTGGTCCTTCCCTGGGTGATGAGGCAGTTGCCAGACTCGGTCCACTGAGACCTGAGATGAAGCAGTGGCTTTCTGTGGGCAAATGGGTCTCTATTTCCAAAGAGTATCTAAACTTTGGGACAAAAAGAAATGTTGCTTCATCTTACGTGGTGACAGGAGGAGACAGCTCCAGAGAGCCCAAATGCAGGCATTAAGATAGCCCCAGAAGATCACTAAGTTAATTTGGGTGGCTCTGTGGTACCCCCCACTCACCATCATAAGTCAGATTTGCTTTTCAGTGGTTGCAGTAGCAAACTGACTCTTTGAGCGTTACCCCTTGGCCAAGCCCCTTCCATTCCCTAGGTCACAGCATCCTGGTTTTACCAGCTTATGCCAAACCCACGTATACCCCAGAGAGACTCGTTGAGAGACAACAGCGTGCTGTTACAAGACCAGATTGCGGCAGTTATTTGTGCTTCTCCAAAAGCTGGTCACCAAAGAAAATAACTGCAAACCTGTCATTCCTTTGAGATGCTTTTAGTGAGCCTGCGTGGCAAGACACTGATACACAAAGCCAAGAGCCTAGGCTGAGCATCTAGCTTAAATGAAAGCCTTTCAGTTCTGGGAACATAGGATTTTTCAGCTTATACAGGAGTCTAGTGTATAGTCTAGTGAGCATCTATCAACCCAGCCTGAAACTGATATAATCCTAAAAAGACAGAGAGATCAATACAAATACCTGCTGCTTCCAGTGCTCTCCTCATTTCATACGAATTCATGGTACCGGATCGATCCACATCAATTTCCCTGTAAATTTTCTGTAGAACACAAAGCCCAAAGTCAAAACTCATCAATAATTCAGAGCGTGTCTTGGCTTCAGTCAGAAGTCAAACATTTTGAGATGCAGCCTGCATGCTCTTCAGGACGGCTTGCAACGTTTGTCTGAAGGACTAGGTACTTATCCCCAAGTTCACCTAAAAGCAGCTTTAGAAAGGAAGTCTTTTTAATGCAACAGCCAGAGAGGATAAAGGCTCTGGAGAATTCCTTGAACGCCCGTGCAAAATGGCACTATCACTACTACAAAGTGAGAAGGCTAAACATATTTGGACGTGAGTGAAAACAAAACAGAACCCCCCTCCGAGAGTAAGGCAGGG